TTTATAAAGCATTCATTTTCTTCATGTCTCCTGAAGCAAAACCCCAGTGGTACCAGGCCAGAGTCTCCCATCCCCCTGATGCAAAGCAAAGCCACTCCTGAATATGCATCTGGAGTCCACTTCAGGCGGACACCTCTGGGGTCAGCCTTGATGCACCCTTTGTGGTGTTGTGAGGCTCCTTCAAATGCAGATGGAATTCCCTTCCTCTGTTAGTTCTGTGCATGAGCCACTAGAGTTCCCAGAGGACATTATTGTGTGGAGGATTTTATTAAGTATCCAACGAATATATCTTCCCCAGTCCTACTACCAGCCCCCAGCAGCATGTCCCTGGTGTCCCTCAGCAGATTTAATCACCAAATTGTTCCCAAATACTAGTTTTATGTCAGGCTCCACAATCTTCCACTAATGACCCCCATGAGTACTGTGTGAGCACTGAGAATTCTCTTACTGCAGGAGAGATGCTGCAGGGAACCAGCCCAGAAGAAGCCAAAACCACCCTGGGCTCTCCTCATGCAGCCATGAAAATGATGGCGAAAATTGCCTCTGAAACTGCACAAAGCACACGGATCAGACATCGCTCCATTTAACACAATAAACCGCATATCCCAGTGCAAGCACTGCAGTGAGAGTGGGGGGGCCCCCTTCTGCCCTGGGCGTGAGAGAGTCGCCTGTGTTAGCAATAAAGACATCTGTGGAAGTTACAGGATCATAATCCATCCTTTCCTTTCCCAGTCCTCCATCCATTTCTCCCTCCTTTTTCCCCTCCCCACCTCACAACTCTCCTCCTCCACTCTTCCCCTCCATTATCTGAAGAGTTAAACCCTGGGCATTCAGTGGGGCAAGTCAGGCCCCTTCTGCCATGCCCCAAGGGCCTTGGCCAAACCATAGATCTTAGGCTAGCTCTTCTTGCTGTGCCTGGGGATGATGTTGGACTAAGTGATTACAAGCCCCGGGAACAAATTGCTGCAATAGCCCAAATCGCTCTCTAAGGTAATGATCTGGGGACTTTCTAAATGCTGCTTCTCAGTGTGCAATGTGAGAGGTCTCTGGAGGTGTGCAGCAGTGCTGAGATTCATCTAGCCCTGTCATGCCTCTTCTCCCTAGCTACTGCACTTTGGACAGGCTGAGTCTGTTCCCAGCTGTGATCAATACTACCTGGCCATGGCTCTTCTCGCTGACTAATGTGCAAACGAATGTCCCCAACAAGCCTTGCGAGGCCGGTTCTTATGGTCAGGTTTCCCGAGTGGCACTGTGAGAGAGTTGCCTGCTCCCGGCCTTAATTGAGGCTCCAGTGCTAGTCGGGCAGGGGGTTGTACTGCACTGGGCTTTAACGATGACAAGAACAGGCTACCAGTGCCTGCTGGTCAGTAATGGGTACTTCACATGTCACCAGAGCTGGTGGGAGCCCAGGTGTATTGTATGGAGTCACAGCCTGTGCAGGGCCTTACAGTGTTGTGTTTAGAGCCTATACACGGTTTCTAAGTGCATACGTTTTACCGTTGGGCTGGGAATTTAGACACAACATTGAGCCATTTTCACTTTAATGAAATTTCACAAAGCAAAAAAATTCTGATTTCTGCCTCTAGTTGTATAGCAGCCTCAGAACAGGCTCCGTCAGACCCACCCTCAAATAACTGCAGTGCCTTGTTAGAGTTTGCCAAATAGTTATTTCATTAAATTGCTTGAGAACTCTTTCCAAAGAGCCAGATCTCTTTCAAGATGGTGTGAAACTAACATGAATGGAATGAGGCCTCCTCCCAACTCTGCTTGTTGCTGCTGCAACATGTATGGAAACAAACTGGCCCTGCTTGGGTGGATAACCCTGCATACAGCGCTCCGCCAGCCTGTCAGCAAGCGTGTCTGGGAGGCCACCATCATGTCCAGGGTAATGAGGTACTGCACCTTCTCACTTAGTTGTGGGGCTTCCATTCCCAACAAATCCAAGTCCATTCCCAGATACATTAATATTCTGCTGAGACCTTTCATCTTATGTTCAGCTAGCTGGATGACAAACTCTTGGTAATGGCCTAAAACTTTCCAGCATGGGGAGAAGTTAGAGATGGGGCCAGGAGCCAGTCCAGGAATGTTCTGTGGGGTGCCCCATAGAAAATATTTTTCTGAGCAAATATTGTAACTGCCTTTTTGTCAGGACTCCCTCTGCACGTGAGACAGGTGCCTTCATGTCTGAAGAGAAGTCGTCCTTTTCCACCCTATCGTTGTTCAAAACATGTCTGTCCAGCAGTTCTGCCTGGGCATTGGTGCAGCCCACCAGACTCTTGATCCCAACAGAAATGGTCTCTTCCTTTTTCAACAGCCTTCCCTGCTACACAGTGTAAACCCTTCCTTTTGAAGGAGTACAGTCAGGCCCCAACCCCCCTGCCAAAGCCTGTCTTTTAGGCTCGTTCTGGTGCACACTAGCTGTAGAGGGTGGATTGGAGCAACATGTCCCACAGCCAAGTGTAACTTCCAGCCCAGGCCAGCGTATTCAGTCTCCTCACCCCCACAGTATCAGAGTTGTGAGTAAGAGCAGGTTAGGGGAATTGCTGCTTGCTGCTACATTTTCCATTCTGGGGCAAGTTACAGCAGCAAAAGTAACGTAACTTTCCCTCCCTTACAGCATGAATCGAGAGCATTAAACCCTGGATGGCAGCATCGGTACCAAACACCAAAGCCTGTCTCAGGTGTGCCCCTAGTGTTGGACTGCAGGAATTCCCATCCATCCTGTTCTCCTTGGCTAGCAGATCAGGCCCAAGGCTAAGACTCAGGAGATGTGGAAGGGGAATCCTCAGGACTCTAACGGGAGCACTTTAGAGACCCCGAGGAAAGGGGGAAGGTTTCATCATCTGACTTCCTATCCCAGGAGTGTGCATCAGCCTTGCCAGGGAAATCACAACGTTTTTAGCATCAGCTGCAACTCTGCTGGTCTCAGATATTTGCTGCCTATTGTGCTGCATGAGATTCATCTATAGCATCAAGTGAAAAAAAATGAAGTCATTGTAAATTCTGGCAGTTTTTATGGTATAATTAAGCTGCCTACAAGGATCCCTCAGGGAAAGCAAATGCAGCTTTGCTATTTATGGAGCTGGCCGAGGTAGTGCTTTCTGGCCAACTTTCATATCTTATGACCTATAAATTGTGTTTAATAGCAAACCTGTTGCCTCAGATTCTTGTATCAGAAAAACTGGTTTCCTTTTTAATCTATTTAATTTGCATCAGCACAGCATGTTTACAAATCCTTGATTTGGAAACATTAGTCCATTAATGTTGCTAAGCATGGAAGTAATTTATCGTCTGCACTATCTGCCCTTTGCTCTGGCCCATAGATCTTCCTGACACTGCATTATTCTTCCTCCTGTGATATAATTTTAATAAAAATAATCATTAGGAAGGCTCCTCTGGTCTTGGTTGTTGAAAGCCCTGAAAGACGAGTTGCTGCTGTGAGACTGTAGCTAGTAGTAACAGTCTAGTGCAGCTCCCAACGCGGGGACTTGAACCAGCTTTCCTGCTAGAGAGGAACCCTCATCTGCTGCCTGTTCACAGCTGGGTGCATGTGATGGGGTGCCCAGGAAGGGGTTAATGGCCTGACAGGACTGAAATGGAACCCTCTTGCCTGCTGGATGTGTCCAAGCTGGATGTAGGGCCCCAGCTGTAGAGAACAATCGGGAAGATCTCAGTATATCAAGGACAAGTGGCAGGCAGGCTGGGAGGGAACTGCCTTTGCAAAGGCCTGTATCTGCTGGGGTAGGCGTGGCTTCCATGGGGAGAGGATGGCAGTTCTAACGGCCTCTTCTGGTGCGGTGAGTGGGAGAGGTTTCCAGGGTGGCTGGGGACAGACCCAAGCACACACTCAGAACCATGATACTACTTGGACATGTAAAAAGCAGGGTTTTCCTCCTAACCTTGCTTGGGGTGAGTCCATCTTGTGGGCTAATGCTGTCGTCCTTCGGGCCTTCACTGACGCAGCAGCTGCTCAGTGTAGTTCAAGGGGCAGGTTTAATCTACAACCACCTGAATAGTTTGGGTTGGTGACGCTGAGCATGCTGGCTTAACTGTGCAGGTATCCTTGTCTGATTCCTTATCCCTGTCTGATCACTCCCTGTGCATGGGTCAGAATTCCCACAGCAGATGTTTTAAGGACTATCTAACAAAGCAGATGCCATGAATCTAGCGCAGGAATCTCTGCAGGCTCAGTATGCAGAGGGATTGGGAAGCTCTGCAGTGTGAACATGGTCAGTCTGAGCTGCATCCTGCTGCAATTTCCCACAGATCATCCTCTTAGGCTCCTTATTCAGAGCCTGAGACCTCTGCTGCTGTTGGAAAGGAGCTCATTGTGCAGGAAGTGGCACAGAAGCAAGCAATTCATTAGTCATTATTCTGCAGAGAAATGCCATTACATATCTGTCTGCCCAAGAGCCCTGTGGACAGGACTTTGCTGTGATAACTGAAATGACTGTAGGTGTAGTAGTGAGAGATGGGCTGAGATGCAGCTGCCTTCAGGGCAGGAACCCAGCTCTCTGAGGCAGCTCACACAGCCTGATCTCACCTTGTGGCTCCTGATATTGCCAAGTTCCTGCAGATTCCACATTCTGTATTACCCCACAGTCCCCAGGCTTTGCAGTGCCATGGGTTTCCCCACTACGTCTGTCAGGGGATGGGAAGGTATAGTGCATCAATGAGAGAATCCCAGTCCAGTTCTCTCTGCCAGCCCTCCAGGTGCCCTCCCTGCAGCCCCTCATTGCCACAAGCTGCCCTCAGAGAAATGCCGTAGCTGCTGGAGAGCCACAAACAGCACGTTCCCCTGTTCGGCAGCTGGGGATTTTTCTCCTGAGTATCGTGTTGCAGGTGCAGATAGACAGGTTTTCACTGGACCCTCCAGGAAGCAGAGCTGGAGTCTCCCTGGAAGAGTTTGTTAGAGGCTAACAGGTGACTGTTGTGTGTCCCTTTGACTTGACTCTGTTTCCACAGGCTCTCACTCTCACCCTCTCTCTCTTGTCTTACAGGCAGCTTCCTCAGCTCTGAGCAGCCTGGGCCATGTGTACACAGCCATTGGTGATTACCCCAATGCACTGGCTAGTCACAAGCAGTGTGTTCTCCTTGCAAAGCAATCCAAAGACGAGCTCTCGGAGGCCCGCGAGCTGGGTAACATGGGGGCAGTGTACATTGCTATGGGGGACTTTGAGAATGCGGTGCAGTGCCACGAGCAGCACCTGAAGATTGCCAAGGAGCTGGGGAACAAGCGGGAGGAGGCGCGAGCCTATAGCAACCTGGGCAGCGCCTACCACTACCGGAGGAACTTTGACAAGGCCATGTCCTACCACAATTATGTGCTGGAGCTGGCTCAGGAACTGGCCGAGAAAGCCATTGAGATGCGGGCCTACGCTGGCCTGGGCCATGCTGCCAGATGTATGCAAGATCTGGAGAGGGCCAAGCAGTACCATGAAGAACAGCTGGGCATTGCTGAGAGCCTGCAGGACCGAGCTGCTGAGGGCAGAGCCTCTTCCAATCTAGGTAAGTGCCCCAGGCTGTGTGGGGAATAGTGTAACAATGCCTAACCACATGGTCTACTGCAGGGAACTTCGCTCTGTGTCACCTTCTCAAATCCCTTGCTTCCCCTAAGCCAGCTGCTCATCTCAGTCCCCTTCATTCATAGGTGCTGGAACTAGGGGAGCGGGGCACTGCAGCACCCCCTCGCTTGAAGAGGTTTCCATCATATACAGGGTTTACCGTTTGGTTCAATGGCTCTCAGCACCCCCACTGTACAAATTGTTCCAGCAGCCCTGCCTTCATCCCAGCAGCAAGTGGGCACTTTCCAGGTTCAAAGTGCCAAAGCAATATGCTCCTGGGGCAGCCCTTTAACATATCCAAGTGGTGGAGTGAAAAGCATGAGGTGACTCCAGAGCAGGGAGTGAAATGGTAAGATGATGAGTTTGGGGGGCTGCAAAGGTGAGCCAAGAGAAGGTTTTAGGGGCAAAGCAGGTGTGGCAGCACGATAATGTCCAGTGGGGATGAGGGCATCATGATCTGCCATCTTGTCATAGGTTTGGGACCCATGCAGGACATCGGGCCCAGCTAAGCACTCAGGTGTGAGGGTGGGGACGTTTCATGGACCAAAGGTTGGCTCTGCTCGTTAACCTTACAAAATGCAACTCCTCACGTCCTTCTCGCTAACCCAAAGGGTGCATTGTCCAAATCCCGGCAGAGCTGATTTTCGAAGCAAGCGCAGAACCCAACAAGTTTTGGATTATGTTTGTTCCTGTGGGGAGGAAACGTTAGTGTCCTACAGTTACCACTAGAAGTAGGATTTAGAGCAGGGGTGGGCAAACTTTTTGGCCTGAGGGCCACATATGGGTATGGAAACTGTATAGTGGGCATGAATGCTCACGAAATTGGGGGTTGGGGTGCGGGAGGGGGTGCGGGCTCTGGCTGCAGGTGCTGGCTCTGTGGTGGGTCCAGAAATGAGGAGTTGAGTGTGTGGGAAGGGGCTCCAGGCTGGGGCACAGGGTTGGGGTGCGGAAGGGGGGGTGAGGGCTCTGGAGATGAGAGTTTGGGGTGCAGCAGGGTGCTCCGGGCTGGGACCCAGGGGTTCAGAGGGCAGGAGGGGGATCAGGGCTGGGGCAGGGTGTTGGGGCGCAGGAGAGGGTCAGGGGCAGATTCCGGGCGGCACTTACCTCAAGCAGCTCCCAGAAGCAGGGGCATATCCCCTCTCCAGCTCCTATGCAGAGGCATGGCCAGGCAGCTCTGCATGCTGCCCCGTCCACAGGTGCTGTCCCTGCAGATCCCATTGGCCATGGTTTCCGGCCAGTGGAAGCTGCGGGGGTGACACTTGGGGTGGGGGCAGAATGCGGAGCCCCTTGGCTGCCCCTACGTGTCGGAGTCGGAGGGGGGACATGCCGCTGCTTCCAGGAGCCATGCAGAGCCACAGTATGCACGGAGTGATGCAAGCCCCCGCTCCCTGACTGGAGCACCAGAGCAGGGCAAGCCCCGGACCCTATTCCCCGGCAGGTGCTCTAGGGCTGGATTAAAATGTCTGAAGGACCGCTTGTGGCCCCTGGGCCGTAGTTTGCCCACCCCTGATTTAGAGGGAATGCCGCTCTACTGCTTCTCCCTTTCCCTGGTCCCAAGGTGGGAATTCAGAGAGCACAGATGGTTCTTGCTGCTTTTGCTGTGACTTTCGACATTGTGGACTTTCCTGTCGTAGGCGACGGTATCCTGGCTGTAATTCCCTTCAGCAGTCCAGGTGTGGCTGGGGGGGTGGGAATGACAGAGAAGGGCTGTTGGGATGATGAAATGCTGGCAGCCCCCAGAAGTGCAGTTCTAGCAGGCAGCCCTGCACTGTAAATTAGCTTCTGTTTCTGCCTGGCAGTTCGCACTTGGTTCATTTGTTGATGCTAATTGTACTCTGATGTTATCTGCGGCAGGTAATTGAAATGGGCTTGATGAATTACTTAATTTCCTTTAATAGCTGAGTCTTCAAGAGCTGAATAAAGAAGATAAGGTGAACTGGAGAAAACACAACAGCCCCAGCTTTCTAATTAGTGCGCTGAGTTTCCTTTTTCTTTACTCAAATTATGGCAAATGTGTAAGGCTAAATGGGTTTATGATGCAAGAACCCCTTTGGGGCATTGACCTTTAAAGAGCCAGTACTGAGCACTGATAACATTTCTGTTCGTATGACAGGGGATCTGATGGCCAGGAGGTTGGAAAGGATGATGCTTTGAGTCTGACCTTGTATAAGGGATGTTTGTATAAGGAATTTAGCAAAATACATATGCAAATACATTTAGCAAAGAGCTAATTACGTTCCCCGTGTCTCTGGCAGGTGCTGTGAGATGTCTTTTCTGCGGGTGCGCATGAGAACTACTCTCTGGGTTCTGCTGGCAGATAACAGGGCAGGAGAGGCGTGTTCTGGGTTCTGCTGGACCGGAGTGTGGAGCATGCGCCCAGGGCTCTGCTGGGGTTTGGGGCATGCACCCTGGACTCTGCCAGCTACAGGGGTGGAAGTGCTTCTGTAGCTCTGGCGGATGTGGGGCTGTGGGCTCTGCTGGCCATGAGCAGGGGGAGCATATGCCTTGGGCTCTGTTGGCAGTTGGGGGCTGGGGGCATTCATCACTGACTTTCTCCAGGTCACTTGGAGGAGGCCTCTGGATTCCTGCCAGTTTTGTACGTTAAGCAGCTGAGCCCTCGGGCCTCTAGGCCAGAGTCCGTTATCAAGAGGAACATGGCACTGCCTTCAGAACTCATCAGAGCAGTTCCCTAAACCATCACCCAGCTAGGACTGCGCCTGGACTAAGCCCCCAGTGTCTTCCCAAGGTGAACAGAAGTGAATCCCGGATCTCTCCCACTCATGTAGTCATTGTTCAAACTCAGTTTTACAGGTGTAGAATTAAAGGCAAGTTGCTGTCCATAGCTGGTTTTGCCCAGTGTGGCCTGGACACTTTCCTTGCATGAGAGCAGAAAAATAGTGTTCAGGTCTAAGTTAAGTATCACTGCATTAGTTTGATAGTGGTAGAAGGTCTCCATTAGGGTACCCTGGTAGCGTGAGCGCCTTCCTGGGGCGTGGGGGACATGGGAGTGGGAAGAAAGTGAGCAAGAGATGATCTCTGGGAGATGGGAAAGGAAGATTCCATTTCTAAGTCTCTCAGTCTAGCTGAACTTTGCGTTAGCTTCAGCCACGCTGTCCATCCCTTGTATGAACGAGCCAGTGGACGCTATCCCTCTGGTTTGACTTCAGGAATCCTAGGCCAAATAGAATCCCGCTGACCACGGAACACAGCTGTTGGGCCGCAGCACCCTGGTGCTTCTCCAGGATATTGCCAGGGAGCTGCTCAGGGGGTTTAGTCCAGCATGTATCAGTAACAAGCTACTTACAACTAGTGAGAACTGGCTGGAGAAAGCGGGAATCCGGAATCCTTTACTGAAGGGTCTTTGAAGGGTGCCAATGAGAGGGCACAGCCACATGGGGGTTCTTACCAAGAGGGACTGCACTGAAATGGCCTCTGTACGGTACAGAGGACAGATTGTGTGTGTCTTCAAAGGAGGCTAAACCTTCAGCATGAGGATTTGCTGCTGTTTTTCTCCTCTGCAAAGCACTTACTCCTTTGTGGGGCGCTTCCCCATATATCTCTGCATGTTCAATTTCTGTTGCTGAAAATGTAGTGTGGGGAAGCAGAAGCTAGAATTGGTTTCCTCAGCATTGTGATTCCCTGCATGAGTGTTAAGAGGTGTGTGTTTTCTGGGTCATTCTCTCCCCTCTCATTCTGTGTGACATACGCAGTGGGGCAGAGTGAGTCCCCTGTAGCCTTGTGGGGGGGAGACATTAGGTCTGAAACTGAACAACATTTCTTCTTACTTGCCTGCGCCTTTGATACATTCTGATGCTCTGTTTGTCAGAGCCATGAAACAACCCTCTTGGCACAGAAATATTGCAGAGACGGGATTAGCAATCCTCTGCAAGCAAAACTTTTAACTGTGGCTGCTTAGCCTCAGCCCTGAAGGACCCCATGCACCATTGGCTTGTGTACACGTGCTTGCTCTCTCTTCTGCAGACCTGACACAAACTCACTTAGGTTCTTAATGCTCTCACCATTTTGCCAGCTCAAAACCCCATGAGGCAAGTTTGGATTAGAAAGTTCTTCTCAGTACCATTATTATTCTTATAGCAGCTTTATATTTAGCGATACTTTCATCACATGATTCCAGAAATTTTTCTGTTGAACAGTGAGGGGTTTCAATGCAGCAGAAATATTTTTCTTGAATTGGGTTTAAGCCTAAATGTAACTTTGTCAGTAGTGCTGAGTCAGCCCCTCCTTGACTTTGAAACAGCCTTCCTAGCTTCTAAATGTAGGATCTCACGTATCAGTTGATACTTTAGCTGTACCTTTCTGCCCTCCTCTCTGTCAGAGTTGTTACTTTGAGAAATCAAAATGTGTAGTTCTTGTTGAGAAAGTCCATCAATGTTATTTAAAATGCATCCAGTACCAATTAAATGTCGTCTTAATTGTCTTTCATCTAAGCCACATGTAAAACAAAACCTCATCAAAATAACCACACTGCCAGCCAAAAATGTATCTGAATGTGTGTTTCTGAGCCAGAATGTCAGTGCTGGCCTCTTTGCTGAAACAACAAAAATTTTTGTTTGTGTTTCAGTGATTGAGATGGAAGGCTCTCCTTACTGTATTATCTAATGCCGAGTGAGACAGAGACAGCATCTAACATAGCCCAGCTGCTGGTGTGCTCTGCAGGAGATAGACTGTGCTCTGTGAGTCAGTAAGCAGAAGGTAATGGACTGAGGGCAAGTCACAAGTTATCAAGCCCTTCATAACAAGGAGATGTGGAGTTTAACCAGGACTCTGAATGTCAACCTTTGCAAAGCAGATGGTGTTTTCAGATTCCAAGGCCCCATCTTGAGAGTTGGCGTGTCAGCCTCTGCAACTCTTAACTCTGCTTACTGCCATGTAGAAAAGGCACTTCGTATTATGAGCAAAGGACTGTTTATAGTCTCTATAATT